AATTTCGACAATAACGGAAATTCGACAATATTGTCGAATTGCCAGTGGAATTTCGAAAAATTTTGAAATTACACTGGAAAATGGACACTGTCGAAATTCTTATTGGCGAAATTCCACAAAACCATCTGAACAACTAACTACTTCAATGATTCATTAATCTTATTGAGAGCTGATTATGTAAAAAAGGATCGTACTACAGTAATTTATTTTTAAGATTTTATGCTAATTCATGACAAGAAAATAGATGTACTCTTCTAAAACACTTATGAAATGAAATCAAAATATACTAATCAATTCATTGAATTTATCTTAAAAAATTGTATAATTTCTTTCTATTTCAAAAGTCTTCATAGAATATAAGATAATGATGAATGCATAAATTGAAATTCCTGAGTATAATCTTTCTTGTCGTCAGAGGGTGTGGGTGTGTGTGAGTGTGGGTGTTGGTTTATGTGACATATTAGCCACATTCACACCCACATCCACACCCACACCCCATACCCACCCATACCCACACCCACATACCCACACCCACCCAAACCCACACCCACACCCGCATACCTACACCCACACTCACACACACATGCCCACACCCTACACCCACACTCCATACCCACACTCTCACACCCATACCCACCCAACTATCCTTATCTGTATTTATTCTTCGAAGAACAATAATTCTTATCGAGAAAAAAGCACAGAGAAATGTGTCTACAGTCCCAGATAATTCTCATAAAAAATGCTTATGTGAATCATTTGCTTATCTGTAAAGCGCTTCTTTTTCACCAGTTGCTTTTTCTCGTATGCTTGAATAGAAATATGAAAGCAAAGCGAATCGGAGTGTGAGAAAAAGAAACGTAACATTAGTGTTTTTAATTATCACAAACAATCCACTGTAACTATCACGACGAGTCGTGCCTCAAAACAACATCGCAGTCGCCGTATACCAGCTAAAAGTCCCTACTTGACTACCGTGAATATATCAATGGATGATTATTATTATTATAATTATGATGATGATGATGACGATGATGATGATGATGATGATGATATTGATGTTGATGATGATGATGATTTCAATAACTGTCAATTATTAACCGTGTACGATGTCTTTTCGAATGCTCTTCGCGTATATATTTCGAATGTTCATTTATATATACTCATTTATTTCCTTTGTTTTTGTAGAAAAAACAATCAAACTCAGAGACTTCAACCGGTGAGATACCATATCGTGAGACTTATTATTCGAATTGCCAATATGAAATTTGATTTTATGATTAGGCTATAAACAACAGCATCCGTCCATCAGTACTCAGTCTGCACAACTGAAGTCCTTAGTCTTGCAACCATCGACTCATCATTCCTCACCGACTCGATCAGCTCATTCAGCAGGTAAATTAACACAGTATAATACGTCAAAATAATAATGAAAAAATTCAAGTGAAAAGAAGAGTCGCGGTTTCACTATTTTTCGTTACACAAGATTTGTTTTGGATTTTATTTGTACATTAATTAGGGTACCTCATTGAGTCTTTCCGGCGGGACAAACACATTGAAATTTGACTTTTCAATTTTTTGTGCCTGGGGTACCCATCAGGGATCGAAAAAAACTTTTCGTCTGAGATTGTGATCTTTTGTAACTGCTCCGATAGAACTCGCTGCGCTGATTACAAATATCGTATTTTTTATCAAGATTTGATCGAGTAATAAGAAATTTATCAAGGGATGTACCCTATTTGCACGATACAGCATTTTTAATGGAAAATGATGCTTTGTTGCTCCTTATGGCCTTCGAAAGTTCTCTTTGAACTATTCCAGTGACTTCATTATCCCTCAATCTTTTGTCCTCTATCTAGATCCGAAAGAATATTCAAGAATATGACTTGCATTCTTTGGATAATAGCCTCTTCCCAGGTCGGTTTTTCTAGCATTTACAAGTTTACCAAAAATTCATATAGCATACTTTCATAAAACAGCTTCCAGCAACTTCGACACTTTTACAGTATGTACAATTTTGTTTGCTCTTTCTAATGAATCTATTTTTAAAGGAAAATAAGTGAACCCAGTACCTTAATATCATTTACAATGCATATCGATAGATAAACAATATTGGAATCATCTCAATAGACCGTATTTTGTATTCTTTTAACACAAAATATCATTCATAATCGTTAGAAAATGTTTCAGATAATTTACTAGAGAAGTTGATAGAAAGAAAACTTGTTTCGATATTATCATAAGAAAAAATTATCATTTCGATTAAAATGAACGTAGTGATGTCACAAAGAAAAATTCTATTCTACACCAGACAAAGCTTTCCAGGGTGTGGGTATGGTTGCGTGTGGCAATGGAATGTTGCTCCGTATATCATGTGCACTCCCACCTACACTCAGACTCAGATCCACACTCACACCTAGACTTAGACCCACACCCACATTCACACCCAGACCTAGACCCACACCCACAACCCCAATATATTATGAGTCAGTATCTTAAATAAACTAGACACTGTCAATAATGATGCGTCGTCAAAGTTAAAAACAATAACAGAAGAACTCGTCATCGAACAATTATGCAAGATAATTCTGACAATACATGCACGTAAAGAATTTGTATCAGTTCAACGTGTTGAACAGGAATTATTTGCATATTTTGATGTTCATTCATTTCGTAAATTGCAAGTTGATCAACGTAATCTGACTCCATTAACCAATTTAATTCAGCGTCATAAATCTGTTAAACTTTACATGCAAGTCTTTGAAAAAATTTTCAATTTATGTACTTTACACGATTTGGGTCCCATGTTAGCAGAATTTCTTAAACTTCAACAATATGATGATGCTCATTTGGGTCCACTTGATAAACATCCCGATGTTCAACGTTTATTTCAATATAAACAACCGACCTCAGGCAATCCAATTACGGAAATTACGACGGGTAATGTTATCAATGCATTTATTCATTTTCATGCTAAATATCGTGGTCCATCACGTATGCCATTTGATGAATTTCTCGAAGAATTAGTCAAAGAATATAAGGTAGAAAATCGTGAACAACTGGGCATTTTCTGTCGTTCGTTTCCATACTTAACTGAGGTATTGATGTTTTGATTAACGTAATATTTTCACACTAATATCTATGCGTTAGGTTACAAGAAAATTGACGCGGGCACATCAATTACATATTCGTCGATCTGAAACATATGCTCGATTAAATATCACACAAATGGTTCAACAAAGATTTTCCGAATTAAGTAAAAAATTAAAAGATGAATTTCAAATCCCATTAGATAAGCAGAATAAAACACCGACCGCTGTGTTTGATCATCTTATTTCAATCGTTGAAAAATATTTAATTGTATCTGAACAAGAAATCGTTCGAGATACATTAAACAAATTTCGCAAAGATGAGTTATTACAATGCCTGTTCAATATTAGTATCTGTTTAGGAAAAATAAAAGAACCTGATGAATTAATGATGGAATTAAAAAATTTCTATCAATATCCATCAGTTAGCCCCATGCAATCCACGACGATGTCAACATCTCTACCGTCACATCCCAATCAACTGTTAGACAATAAACAATATCAATCAATGCCGCTCAATCACCCATCCGTAATTTCTGATATTTGTTGATAGAAGAAAACTGTGTCCGCATTTTATGAGTGATTTATCCTATACAGTGGTTCCAGAAGGATCATCGTTAGCATGCCTCTCTAATTAGGATATTAGCCTGTTTAATATTTCAAGTATCATGATCTCATCCAACTTTTCTTTCAGTCGTTGTATAACTTCTAATTAAAATTTATAATGCATATTTTAACATTGATCTTGATTGTTCTAAGAATCATTATAATCCTTCACATATATATAGTTATGTATATAATTTGTCTACTTATAGTGAAACATCCGAAAGATATCTGAATCATTAGTACGCCTCTTCATTGCTTTTTGTAATACACGAAAATTCCATACGACCTTTATTGGCTATAAGTGGAGAATGATCCTTGTCGAATTTCAAAAATGAGTCGATGAAAAACAAATCTCTTTTCTATGAATTAATAGGCTGTCAAATTTACTACAGGAATAGTTCATATTTCTTTTATTTTCTGCCGTTATTGTATAGATGAATACTTCATTTGCAATAGTGAGAGTAAGTAGTTCAAAAGTAATATCTGACTATTTTAGCGAATGCCCAATACAGTCATACGCACAACTGTTAATACATCGTTTGAGAATACACTATTAGCAGCAGTAGCAGCAACGTCTGTTCCACCCATAGACAAACCTCGAATATCTCTTAAACAATTATGTTTCGATCTTGGTCAATATTTAAAACGTTACGATAGTATTTTGACTATAAAACAATGGGCAGAAGTCGAAAAAGCATTTTGTAGTCAACATGGAATTGAAAATTTCTTTGGATTTCACATGATGAATGAAGACAATGATAGTCATAATCCACTTAGTTTATTATCATTTCTTCATCTTTATCGTCAAAGAATTGATTCAAATGGACACTTATCAGTGTATGAAAATGCCATCCCGACAAGTAATCGAAAAGAATTATACACATTTGTTAATCAACTCTTAAGAAATTATGACAATCGAGTTGCGCATGCCGATTCTAACGCAAGCATTCAAAATTCTACGAATAGACCAATTTTCTTTAGCGCTAATCAATTAGCAGCCGTTGAAAAAGGTATCAAGCACAAATTTGGTAGTTTGCTTGGTTTTCAAGGAGCTGCACAAATCATCAATAAAATTCAACAACAAAAACCCCATTCAATGATATAGTAATTATTCAATTTTCTCTTATGTATAAATTTATTCGTATTGTTATAGTTTTGAAGAATCACTTTTGGATGTCGTCAGTTTAAATCGACTTGACATTTGTCCATCGAGTTTGCCTGTTGATGAAACTCAACTATGTAAACTTATTCTTCAATGTCCAATTATGATCGATCTTAATACATGGTTACAATGGCTTTATTTCTTTCAACCAAGATATGGTTCTCTAAAAACTTTCATTGCTCGAAAACAGACTGAACTCGATGGTCTTCTTCTATTAGAAACATCGACACATGAATTATTTCGTTTACCAATCGAATCATCTTTAACACATTTCGAACAAGAACTTGCTAAAATGAATGTACGTTTAGCTGTCGGTTATCTTTGTACATCGATTATTTTTGAACATATTCATGTTAATCGATTACCATTGAGTATCTATCGACAAGTCATGCATACATGGTTTATTGTACTTCAATCATCGGCTACATTCGGTGGACATAAATCAATCGAACCAATGGAATATATTCTTGAATTTTTAATCTATTTGCCCGCACTTATTGGACAACCATTAATTGTTCAAGAACTTGTACTTGCACCACTCGATGATGTATTTCGTACGGATGATCGAGAAAAAAAATCGATCAATAATCGACAAAAACTTTGGATGCTGGCAAATGATAAACAAAAGAATAAATTGGAAATGTGGGGTTATTTGCTTGATATTAAAGAATGGAAGAATACGACGAAATGGATCGGACAAAATCAATCACAGATCGAATCCACCAATGAGCGATTGTTCAACATGTCGAAAGCAACAGAAAATCTCGTCACAGGTATATTCTGTTTGTTATGATGATAGATATTAAAATGCGATAACAGAAAACACTTTTCTTATTAGATAATACTCAACTGATAGTCGCACAGACGAAAACCGATTCTATTTTATCGACAACAACTTCACATGATTATGTCAACAGCGATAAAGAAAAACGAGTTATTAGCGACAATGATTCAATACAAGCTGCCTATGAACATATTGAATCTATTCGTCGTGGTTTTGGTGTTAATTGTGGCCTTGATTCAACTGGTCAATCAATTGTAAATAATCTTCAAGGCATGATTGAACGAAGTCTTGAAAAACTATCGAATGATCTTTATTCGGAACAAGGTCATTTCGTACTTGAACTTATTCAAAATGCCGATGATAATCAATATCTATCGAATCGTATACCAACATTACGTTTCATTTTGTCATCTGAACGCATTCTTGTTTGTAATAATGAAACTGGCTTTCAACCGATGCATATTTCAGCTATTTGCAATGTGGGCACATCAACTAAAGGAAAACATAAGCAAGGCTATGCTGGACACAAAGGTATCAATTCTAGTCCACATTCTATGAAATCTGATTAATGTGGTTATTGATCTACGGGCGAGCGAAAAAGGGAGGGGGGTGGGGGGGGGAGGTGGTGTAAGGGGAGTGTTGTGTTTTAATTTTGCACGAGATATGTTAATTTTTTCATAAGTAGCGAACACGAAGAGTTTTGGT